AGTCGACAGAAAAAGTATGCAGACCGTAAGTTAAGAGACATGGCGTTTCAAACTTGTGAGCAAGCTCTTCTTAAAGTGTCACCCATAAAAGGGGTGATGAGATTTGGCAAGAAGGGCAAGTTTAGTCCTCGATACATTGGACCATTTGAGATCCTTGACTGTGTAGGGCCAATGGCTTATAGGTTAGCCTTACCTCTTAGCTTATCTGGAGTGTATCCAATGTTTCATGTGTCCATGTTGAAGAAGTATCGTGGGGACGGGGATTACATCATAAAATGAGACTCAATTTTGTTAGGTAAGGACCTTCAGTATGAGGAGGAACCGATTGCAATTCTTGATTGTGATGTCCGAAAACTGAGGACCAAGGAGATTAAATCCGTGAAAGTTCAATAGAAGCATTGTCCGATTGAGGAAGCTACTTGGGAAACCGAGAAGGACATGCGAGACAAGTATCCCAGTTGTTCGACGATTCATGTACTACTCTACTCTTACCTTATCCAATTTTTCATAGTTTATCACTCGGGGATGAGTGATAGGTAAATTGGTATCTACCGTCGTTATATAAAAGCTAATGGGGAAAGAATTTGGGCCTGAAAACTTTTGAGTAGTGACTTGGAAATTTCTAGCCTAGTCCAGATTTGTACAAAATATGAGTCAAGTGAGATCTGGGGAAATATGGTAATGAATGGAGGATTTAGTTATGAATTTGATCACATGAGTAGATAGCCAAGACGTTAAGGAGCCCGTACGGCTTTATGAAATTGAATTCGGCTAAGTAGAACTCCCAAAAATGATCTTAGCGTGAACGTGTAGTTTTTGAACGTCAAGGGTTGAAGGTGTGTTGTGAAATGAGAGTTTTGAACTCAAATTTCAACTTTCTGTCTCCGTGAAAACCACTAGAGAGGGATTAATCCTGCTAGGGTGGGGCCGATGTGGTAGGTTGAGTCCTGCTATGGCGGGGTAATCACGACTTAGGTCGGGGAAAAACCCCAATTTTATTATTTTTCTGCAAACTTCATTCTTGAGAGCTAAGAGACGACGCATGGCAAGTTCTTGACAGTTTCCACCACTTCTAGCGCTAAAGGTAAGATTATTACTCCCCTAATCCATTTTTCAATCCGTAGAACTTAGATTCTTGGGTAATTATAATTGGGGGAGGGTTTTGACCATCAGTTAATGGTGGGGAAAAGCCCTAATTGAACATTAGGATCTTAGGTTTGGCCATGGATAGATAGATTGATTAATATCCGGGTAAATTAGGTCTTGTTTATTGATCCTTCCGTTAATTGATTTTTTTAGACCAAGAACAAGTGGCAAGAATCTGGAAAGGTAAGGCTCAAGAGTTTTATGAGGGTTCAAGCTTGGTTTCGAGGTAGGTGATGGTTTGATTTCCTGTTTGTGTGATATATGTCGGTTAATTGCTTCGTTGTATGCATGCATGTATTAGAATAAGGAATGTAAATCAAATCTAATGCAAATGATTTATATATATATATATATGAACAATTACATACTATGAACCTATTACTTGATTGTAGGACTATGAGTATTGTTCATTATGGGTGTGATTGTGATTGTGATTGTGGTTGTGCTGATTGGATCAGCTGTCACGTTTCGACACATACATTGGATCGGGTGTCATGTTCCGACACATATATTATATCGGGTGCAACATTCTGACACATCTATTGGACCAGGTGTCACGTTCTAACACATATATTAGATCGGGTGTCACGTTCCGACACATACATTAGATCGGGTGTCACATTCCGACACATTAACAGTTTGGGTGTGGGTTCCATGAGAGGACCATTGTGATTATTACATTCATGTCTATTGTCATTGATATTGGGAACTGTATGGTGTTCTTGAAATGATATCTGATCTGTGTATTCTGTATATGTGTGTTTATTGGGTTGTAATTGCTTGCCTATGTTTCACTTACTGGAATAGTCGCGCGATCCTACCAGTACACTGTGGTTTGTGTACTGATACTGCACTTGCTCGTTCTTTTTTTAGTACAAAGCATATTCAGGCGGTTACTGATAGACCTCAGCCAGGAAATCACTGATCGAGACCGGATTCAAGGGTGAGCAAGTTCTTTCAGGCTGCCATGGATCCATCCTTAGTTTAGCCCACTCTTATCGGACTTAGACTATTTATGTTTTTAGACATTGCTTATGTTTAGTTTTGGGTTTGTACCCTTTTCTCTTAGACTTGTTGAATTTAGAGTTTTGGTACAATGACTTTCAGTTCTAGGGGTTAACTTCCGCAATAGTTGTTAGTGTTTGTAGAACTTCTGGAGTTTATGGGAACTCCGTATTTCTTAAGTCATTTAAACTTGCTTCCGTATTTTTAAATGCATAGTTTTTCGTAAATTGCTTAGTTGGGGTGTAGTAATGGTTCTCCCACCGAAGGATTAGTGTGGGTGCCAATCTCGACGGTCTTGGTCATGACAATTATCATTATTATTATCATCATCATCATCATCATCATCATCATCATCACAATCACCATCACCACCATCACCATCATCACCATCACCATCACCATCACCATCATCATCATCATCATCATCATTATCATTTATTATTATAGTAATTTTTTTTGGTAAATAAACATTTTTATTAACCAAATGAGAAATACAAAACATTTAAATAAAATCTGCCTGGACATCCCCATGACTGTATACTTCCAGCATCAAACAATCTTTTCCTAGCCATTGATCACCCTATCCCTCCCACATCAGAAACTAATTACACAGGGTACCAATCTAGCAGCTGCAGTTTCATGCTCAATTTCATCTTCATTCCCCCTCTATATGTTAATATTTTAAATAGTTTAATTTCAAAAATTATAAAAAAATATAAAAAATTGGACTGACCTAGCACGATCTACGACCCATGTACTGAGGATTAGGCTGACTGTTTTCTAGCCCACAAATATTGCCTTGCACGTTTACCACTAGACCATGTCTCTTTATGTTCTTATGTTTTTGGTGTGGTTAGAACATGAAAACCTTTTTGAAAAATTGTACATTTATGAGTAATTTAAATCTGCGCAGATCATGCTTATTTTCGCACCCATGAAGTGTTCGAAAAAATTCTCTCTAGAGACACATTGTCAACGGTTTCTTGAAATCGAATGTGCATGACATATTTATTTTGACATCCATGAAGTATTCGAAAAAATGCCATCCATAAGCACATTGCCAACGGCTTTTTGAAATGGCTTCAAAAATCACTCAAGAGATATTATCTCAAGGCTTCTTTTTACTGGCTTTCTCTTTCAAATCTGCCCAGGCCATGCTTATTTTGGCACCCATTAAGTGTTCGATAAAATGCCCTCTAAAGGCATATTGTCAACGACTTCTGGAAATGGCTTCAAAATCCACTCAAAAGGTACTACCTTAAAGCTTTTTTTCTCTGGCTTTCTCTTTCAAATAAAATTTTGTCCTCCAATAATGTGATCGAGATTTAGGTGGACAATTATTTTAGACCATTTAAGTTGAATTACTGAATATCTTTGTTCAATAAATACTTTCATAACAATTCAAATATATAACTATGGATAAAAATGCAACAAACAACCTTGAATAATTCTGATCATTCAATAGTACAATGAACATTTACATAGTCAGACAATAATGTCTATAAAATATTTATTATAATTTAGTCATTTTAAGTTTAGACTATATTACTTTTTAACTAAAACAATAATTTGTTCTACAAATTGTGATCATTTGGACATACTTGTGATCCCGTGATGATATTCTAACACGTTTGCCTAAGCATAATTGAGATCTTTACTCAACTATTGCTCTTTTGATTAATTTCGTAGGATTTCATTCTACTTTTATAGCAAAAGTTAGAATGCATGTTTGATTATGACCATGTTATTTCTCTTCCTCCTATTTTTGATTGAATCCTTACACATTTGATATGAAAAACAGAGATCATCATAGCCACAATCAATGTGTTAAGTCTTAACGGTGAACAATAAAATATTTTCTAATAAAGAATACACCATTTTTGAGTTGATGATCCATAAGAGATAATTTCTTTACCTCTGAGGTATATTGTTGTTATTATAAAAATTACAATAATAATTTCTATTGTAATCAAATTTTGGACCTCCTTGCGGTGCTTCATGATACATCAGGACTCTTCATACTAATAGAAATTACAAAGTAGAGGTGCCAAGTTAGAAGCACCACATTGAACAATAACTACATGAAATTTAAGGTTGCCCTATGTTATCCACAAATCATGCGAGCTGGTGCAAGGTTAGTTAAATTCAAAACCATCCCACTCACCTCTAGGATGTTCTTTATCGTAGATATATTGTCCTTCCGAAGTTTATTTTCTTCATTTAGCGGTTATGTCACACTCTCTATAGCCAACACTTGTATTTTTCATTCTTCTTAAAATTTGGGCTTTTCTCCTATTTTCCCATTTGTTTGGTGTGAAAATAAAGAACACAAGTTGTTTCTTCTACCTACCTCTTTTCCACATTTCTGTATGTTCAGAAAACTGCATTGTTAAGAGTTATAGTTGCCTCAGAAGTGGAAACAAGTCTCCATGGAGAAATCAATAATAAAGTGATGAAACGGGGCTGCCATAAGAGCACTGTTCAAACTATACATTATTGATGAAATAGGAGCAGTAACTTAGGTGGACCTGAGTGTAGATGATTGTAATTAGCTGTACATAATTCCTAACAGATTCTGTTTTAGTTTGTTAGTTAGAATAAATGTATAACCACCAATAGAAGATTCTAGAAGGATCTTATGCTATTGTATATAAGGGAGAAGATGTAACTAGATTCTCCAAGTAATTCATTTTCACTATTTTGTACAAACGCTTCTTCACAGATATGAAGATGTTATCTTCTGTTTCTTAGCTCATTGTTCTTCAATGGAGGTAAATTGATTCGTTAACATGGTATCAGAGCTGTGTGGCCATTGATATGGTCTGATTGAGCGAGTTCGCAGAAGAAACATGGCGATTGTAGTGGATAATGAGTTGCCGGAAAAATTAAGCCATAATCATCTTTTATATCTGAATTCTTCAGATACTTCTAGAGTGATGTTGATTTCAATTCAACTAACTGGATCTGAGAACTATTCTGTATGGAGCAGATCAATGAAGATTGCTATACTTGGAAGAAACAAGTTGGGTTTCATTGATGGAAAGTGCAGAAAAGAAGGTTTTGGTACAAATTTGGTTGATCTATGGGAGCGTTGTAATGCAATTGTTCTCTCATGGATAATGAATTCTGTCTCAAAGGAATTGCTTAGTGGAATTGTCTACTCGACTGATGCATGTGGAGTTTGGAGAGATCTCAAAGAGCGATTCGACAAAGCTAATGGATTGCGGATTTTTCAGTTGCACAGGGAGATTGTATCTCTAACTCAGGGAATGAGTAGCATTTCTGAGTATTTTACTCGATTGCGTTTGCTTTGGGCTGAATTTGACAGTTTAGCTCCTTTTTCTGGATGTGATTGTGCGAGATCACAAGATTTTACCGAGTTCATGCGAAGGCAAAAATTGCTGCAGTTTCTCATGGGCCTAAATGAATCCTATGAACAAGCTAGAGGTCAGCTTCTAATGTTGATTCCTATTCCTTCTGTAAATCAGGCTTACTCAATGATGATTGAATGGGAAAGTCAAAGAAATATGGCACATGTTGCTGGATCAATGACGAACATGGAGATTGCATCCTTGGTGGCCGGAAGAAATGGACATCCTAAGTTGAAGAAGAACTGGAACTCTCAGTGTGATTATTGTAGAAGGACTGGGCATACTAGGGATAATTGTTATAAGTTGATCGGTTACCCACCTGATTTCAAGTTTAGGAAGAAGGATAACAATCCTAATCTTGTGAATCCAAGGGGTGGAGATCAGAGGAATTAAGCCTATAATGGGACATCTGATGACAAACAAAATAACACTGATACAGGACATGGTAGAGCTTCTTGTGTTGATACCTATAGGGGTTCTTCTGATAGAGGAAAAGGTGTGATGCCATCAGAATCTCACAGTGGGGGAAGAGAATTTGGAAGGTACTCTGGTGATTGGCATAGAGAGGCAGAAGCAGGACGTCCGAACTACTCACATCACCAATACAATCAACTGATGCATAATATGGAGAACCCACACCACTATAATCAATTCCAACGGCTGATGGATAAAGACAATTCTGGAGGAAGCTCATCCCACTCTCATCTGTCTGATTCAGCTAACATGGGAGGTAATGTATCTGTCTCTAATGTGCTAAATTCTCACAACACAAGTAATATTCATACGCCTCAAATGAATGAACCTAAAGAAGAATGGATAATCGATACTGGAGCAACTAATCATATGATTTCCCACAAAGGAATGCTAATAGCTGGTAAAGGAACTGTTAAAGTTTCTAATAAAATGGTGTATTTACCAAATGGAGAAACAGTAGATGTTTCACATATTGGCAATTGTGGAATAATGAATGGAAGGGTGTTAACCAATGTACTGTACATACCAGATTTTAGGTTCAATCTGATGTCTGTTTCCAGGATAACTAAGGAACTAAATTGCTCAGTTCAATTTTTTCCTAACTTCTGTATATTCCAGGACCTCTCAAATGGGAAGGTGTTGGAGATTGGTGAAGAAAAGGATGGACTCTATTTGTTAAAGCGTAAAGGACAAACAGAGAATAATGATCAGCACTTTAGAGGATTACGACAAATTAAAGGTTTGATAGCTACAAGAAATAAAGTAGACGTTTTACTTTGGCATAGGAGAATGGGACATACATCTGCTGGAGCCATGCAACAAGTGTTTAGTCTTAGCCATGATTACTGTAAGCAAGAAATCAGTAGTTGTGAAATTTGCCCACTTGCTAAACAAACTAGGATACCTTTTCCTAGTAGTGATACCAGATCTATTGCTATTTTTGATTTACTACATTTGGATGTATGGGGACCTTTTCATGTACCTACTTTTGATGGCAATAAATTGTTCTTACCATTGTGGATGACTATTCTCGGATGACTTGGAATTTTTTGTTAAAATTCAAATGTGATGTTGTAATTGTCTTGAGAGACTTCCTTAAACTAGTCTTGACACAGTTTGGTAAAACAATCAAAGTAATGCGATCAGACAATGGGACAGAATTTGTGAATTCTGAATGTGAAGTATTGTTTAAATCTCATGGCATTCTACACCAACGATCATGTGTTTACACCCCACAACAAAATGGGGTGATGGAAAGGAAACATAGATACATTTTGGAGTTAGCCAGAGCCATTAGATTTCAAGGTTCTATTCCTTTGAAATTCTGGGGACATTGTGTATTGGGAGCTATTTATATGATGAATAGATTACCATCTAAAGCATTGAATGGAAAGACTCCTTATGAATTGTTTCATGCCTGTAGAGGTACCATTGATCATTTTCGGACCTTGGGATGTTTGTGTTATGCCAAGAACTTGCCATCTGGGGACAAATTCACAGCTAGAGCAGTAGTGACTGCTGTACATATGGGATATTCTGAGGTGTCCAAGGGTTATGTCTTATATAACCTTGCTACACATTCATTTTTTACTTCCAGAGATGTCATTTTTCAAGAAGACATTTTCCCTTTTAAGACTCAATCTCCATCTCATCCTGTGTTTCTAGAAAATCCTGCAGGTTTTCTTGATGACATGGTCCAGGCCAATCCCTCTAATCATGTTGAACAGGTTGCAGTACCTACTGTAGTGACTGAGCCTGCAGTGGATGTTGTACCTCCTGTAATTACTAGACAGTCTACAAGACCAAGAAAACCACCATCTTGGATGACTGATTTTATTACCAATGCTGCTACTGAGTCGACTCTTTATCCATTATCACAAAGTTTGAGTTATGCCAACCTGTCCAAGCAATATCAGTCTTATGTTCAGGTTTTTTCCTGTACCACTGAACCACAGAATTATCAGACGGCTTGTTTGGATCCTAACTGGATCACAGCTATGCAAGAAGAGATCAAGGCTCTTGAAGATAATCAGACATGGCGGTTGGTACCTTTGCCACCTGGGAAAGTCCCTATTGGATGCAAATGGGTATACAAGGTGAAGTACAAAGCTAATGGCGACATAGAAAGGTACAAGGCAAGACTAGTTGCTAAGGGTTATAATCAAAAGGCTGGTTTAGACTATCAAGACACTTTTTCCCCAGTTGTCAAGATAGTCACTGTTAGGAGTGTTTTGTCCATTGCTGCTGCTTCCGATTGGCATATTCATCAATTAGATGTTTATAATGCTTTTTTGCAAGGCGATTTGTTTGATGAAGTATATATGACACTTCCTGAGGGTTTTTCTAGCCAGGGGGAGAAGTCAAGGTTGGTATGTAGGCTAGTAAAATCCCTATATGGTCTCAAGCAAGCTAGTAGGCAGTGGAATGTGAAACTTACTGATGCTTTGATAGATTCTGGTTTTATACAGAGTAGTTTGGACCATTCTTTGTTTATTAAAAGACATCATGAGCAGATTGTAGTTGTTTTAGTATATGTGGATGACATGCTAGTAGCTGGTAGTTACTTAAGACTGATTGAGCAGACTAAGGAAGAGCTACATGCTAAGTTCAAGATTAAAGATCTTGGCATCCTGAGATATTTTTTGGGGATTGAATTCAGCAGATCATCCAAGGGAATTTTGATGAATCAAAGAAAATATGCTCTGGAGATGATAGAAGAATTAGGACTGACTGGTGCAAAACCATCATGGACTCTATTGGATCAAAACTTGAAGCTGACAACAATAGAGGTGGATAAAGCAGGAGGAATTACAGATGATCATGTTTTGACAGATGTGGGATCATATCAAAGATTGATTGGAAGGTTATTGTACTTAACACTAACAAGGCCAGACATTGGTTTTGCAGTACAAACACTAAGCCAGTTCTTACAGAATCCCAAGAAGTCACATATGGAGGCAGCAATCAAGGTGATTAGATATGTAAAAAGACAGCCTGCAATGGGGATACTAATGAGCAGCAACAAGGAAAACAAACTAATAGCATATTGTGATGCAGATTGGGCATCATGTCCAAATACAAGAAGATCTGTGACAGGGTTCCTAATCAAACATGGAGCCTCCTTGATATCATGGAGATCAAAGAAGCAAACAACAATATCAAGAAGTTCAGCAGAATCAGAATACAGGAGTATGGCTTCTACTGTGTCAGAGGTGGTATGGCTGGTAGCATTGTTCAAGGAACTAGGAGAAAAACTGGAGATGCCAGTGGACCTTTTTTGTGACAGTAAGGCAGCATTGCAAATAGCTGCAAATTCAGTTTATCACGAGAGGACCAAGCATATTGAAATAGATTGTCATTTTATTAGAGAAAAGATTCAGAAGGGGTTGATCAGACCACTGTACTTAACTACGCAAGAGCAACAAGCAGACATTATGACAAAAGGGTTGTTTAGATCACAACATGAGTATTTGGTATCCAAGCTGGGCATCTTGAATATATTCATGCCTGCCAGCTTAAGGGGGAGTGATGAAATAGGAGCAGTAACTTAGGTGGACCTGAGTGTAGATGATTGTAATTAGCTGTACATAATTCGTAACAGATTCTGTTTTAGTTTGTTAGTTAGAATAAATGTATAACCACCAATAGAAGATTCTAGAAGGATCTTATGCAATTGTATATAAGGGAGAAGATGTAACTAGATTCTCCAAGTAATTCATTTTCACATTTTGTACAAACGCTTCTTCACAGATATGAAGATATTATCTTCTGTTTCTTAGCTCATTGTTCTTCAATGGAGGTAAATTGATTCGTTAACAATTATAGGCAACATCAATGAAATTTCACGGGTGTTAGAAGATCTTTCTAGTGATGTTTTGTTGCATTGGACCTTTAGCTGTAATTTATCGAATTTATTAAGATCATTTTGACTTATTTGAAGAAAATGTTATGCAGGAAAATGTGTAGTGTATCTATTTCTTCTCATTTATTTAGAGTTGGATAGGTACACAAGTTGAGCAAACGAGCATCCTATGATTCATTATATTCACAGGATAAGCACTTTTTCCTTCTGATAGAAATTTATGTTTTCTTTTACTCGCATGAAAGTAAATGTTGTATGTGATTCACATTGGAAGCATATTATGTATGTGAATAATGAATTATTTATATGTTTTTGAATGTTCTTTTGGTATTAATGACTGCTCTGTTCCGGTTGAAATTAGCGTAACAATGGTATAGTCTTTTTAGTATTTTATGTTCAATTTATCATCCCTATTTTTATAGTTGATTCGTGATCACTGAAACTGTTTATCATACTTTTTTGGCACCGAAAGATTGTTTCCTATTGTCATTTATTACTAATATCTTGGCTAAGATGTCAAGGTTCTTCACGACTATTTCTACTTAAGATGTTCCTTAATGTTTAATTTTATCTATGTTTAAAAGTATCGATAAATACACCTTTTTTTTTTATATATTTAAATATTATTTGTGTGAATTTCACTAAAATGTCACTCTTCATAATGTCTTCGCTGCTTTGCTAGAAGCATTATTCAGAAAGTTTCAAGTGAGTATTTTGATATCTGCTTTAAAGTGCGTTTCTTCTTAAATAAATTGTCTTTTTTTACCTTCTTTAAATTCCATTTGTCACGCTACATCTCTTCCCTTTTATTCGACGCCTCTGCCCATTCATTCTCCCTGCGATCTTTCCCTGGCAACTACTGTTGAAGCCAACATTACTAAATGTAGAAAGACTTATCATTGAACAATCGAACAAAACCAATAGTTTCGAAGAGTACTTATGGAGAAATCTCGGGAAGGTTTATCCTACATATGCCTTAAGAATATCTTGAAGAGATCTGAAAAGATATTCATACTTTTTACTGTTTTCCACTGTGTGCCTATTTAGTGATTAGCTATTTCAATAATTTCTTCTGTCCACATATCAGTGAGCATTAATTATTTATTAATCATGACGCCTCACCTTAAACAATATTTTATCAAATTTCAATTTTTTCTTCTTTTAGATATGAAAATACGTGGTGTGTTTGACCTTGTTAGAGATTCGTGAAACCCAATTGTAATCTAATCGCTAAATAAAAATAGTATTTTTATTTTTATCTAATTTTGAGAAAATATAACACTACAACAAAGACATGTATTTTATTTTTATTTTTATCTATTTTGAAATTTCTAATTGTAGCAGCTCTTACTTTTCTGCCTCTAATGTGAAGTTGTAGTTGTTAGGGGCTCCTATAGTTGTTATGCCAATGAAAGGTGCTTTCCTCTCCATGTTAGTGTGTGTATATATACATACACAAACACACTAGATGACCTTAGGCCTGGTGATGTGGCATGCCTTATTGATGAGGAGTCTCTTTATCTCTTTTGTCTTTTATTTTTTGGGGCTTTGTCTAGTTTTATGACATAACGTTTCAGAAATAAACAGAGATTGAAAATTTCCTACGAAACTGTTCGAATCAACATCTTAACCTCTTCAAAATCATATTAAGCCAAAACCTTGCCTCTTGAAAAACAGTTTCATGCTAAAATCTTAAGGCCTTCGATCCCAATGTCCAATGCACCCAAAACACAGAAGGAATTAATAGAGTAAAAGAATTCATTGTTTCTAATGTTGGCTTTGGCTCCAAATTACAATAGAAAGGAGAAGATGATGAACAACTTCAACAAGTTAACGCTTACGATGATGGCTACCTCTTCATGACGGACCCACTAGAATGGATAACTATCGAGCACTATTGAAAATATCATTAAATAATAAAGGTGTGCTCTCTCTAAAAACTTAAATTGTTAGATGTGATGGTCACATACTTCAACATGATATTAGAGCCAGGTCTATCCCAAGTTGTTGTTCATCGATGTTGGGCCCCTATTTAAAAGTGCTCACGCTCCAGTTGGGGCCTGGGCGTGCAAGGGAGTGTTAAGAAGTCCAACATTGGTAGAGGGATATGAAATTGGTCTTCTTATATGAACTTGGACAAACCTCCCCTCATGAGCTAGATTTTAGGGTAGAGTTA